ATGTTCACCTCTCTTGGCCCAATGAGATCTTGGCACATGCAAGCTGAGCTGATGAGATAATGCCAGAGACCTGAATTAAGGCAGTGGCTAAACACAGACTGGTTGCAACTCATCAGCTAAAAGGGAACATCTATCATGACCGGCTGCTCCTTCTGGCTTGCTTGCTTCACTTTTCTCTAAACTCAGTTTGAAAAGTGCACAAGACAATCACGCATCAAAGTTCTCCATTTGCCTTCCCTTGAAGGATGAAAATGAAGACCAGGTTGCCAAAACCAAATAACCAAGCGGTTTTCCTTTAAACATGCAGACAGCAACATTCATACGAAAGCCCCTCTCTGGAGGCTACTTCCATCCACAAGAACTCCCCTGAGGCAGCAGGGGCTTTGTGGGCAGCATGATTTCTATGCTGCTTCTCAGAGCAGTTCACCACGGATTCTAAAACACGCATGCAAACACACATGGAGCATGTGACTGGAGAACAGGCAACAGTTTTGATAAATGCCTAGAACATTTATCAGAGGAGGCGTTTGCAGGAGTGTTCTTCAGTTTTGCTCACCTGGAAACAATTGTCACTCGCAGTAGCTGTGCAGCTCATTACCAACCTGACTAGCAGCATTTTTAAAGCCTCCAAAAAGCAGCCACCAAGGTTGCCTGGCTCATTTTCTGAGCCGGTGAACCCCACTTGGAGGAACAGTGTTAATTCATTTCACTTTTCATTATGCAGGCAATCAAGCACAGTTTAAAGCCTGGGGATGCTTTAATTAAGGCCCAGGCAGAGCAATATAAGCTTCTTCTTCCCTGATAGCGAAGCCAAACAGCCCCAATCAAGGTGACAGTTTTGTTATTGGAGAAAAACAAATTAAACCCCAAAAGCTCGGGCAAATGGAAAGCCCCAGGCAATCACAGGAAGGCGCATCTGTTTTGCTCCTCACATGGAAAAGGGCAGGTGATTGCACCAGCCCCGTAAACAAGCACATTGCTGAGATCCCGCTGTGGCTCCCGAAGGAAGGTGCAGCCTTCCACACTCCGGGAATGGGGAGCAGGGGCTGAAGGGCTGGCGGGCGGGGGAACGCCATGCGCCAGTGCTGGCTGGGCGTCGTAGGCCTTCTTCTTCTCTGACTGTGTAGCGCAGCGCTCCTTGCATGCATTTCGTGGGAATGTGCTGAACAGGTGCAGCCGCAAGGGAGCACAGGGAAGAAGAGCAACCCTGGGGCGCTAGAACAGGGAGGCCTTCCTTTTGTTTTCAGTCTAGAGAAATGAACTGGGCTCACAGAGAGACTGCGTGACAGAAACGGTCGCATCTCTCAGAACAGTGGCTCCCAGGAAGCTTCCCGGCAGGAGATTCAGGATGCGGAAAAGGGAGGAAGGACAGACACCCATCTTCACACAGCGCATGAGTCCCGCCTGGGACCCGCTGCCACACCGTGAGGCCCCGGCCACGCTCCTTCGGGGGCTCGCACAGGGGCAAGTGGGCCAGGCCTGCCGGGGCCCCCAGGCGGCAGCTGGAAGCGCAAGGGAGGCGGCCGCACAGGCCTGTCCTTTTCGGGGGCTTCCCGCTGGAGCATCTCGCGGGCCACAGCGCGGCCGGGCTGGATGCCGGGCTGGATGCTGCGGCCGCTTTCCCACAGCCGTCTCCTCTGGAGCATCTACGGGGCCCTCTTCTCCTACGCAGCCCCTTCTCTGGCTGGCCCATCCGCCCAGGCCTGAGCCCCCCAGGCCAGGTGTCCCAAGGCCCGATCCACACAGTCCTTGGAGAAGAGGGAGCAAGACTCGGGCCCTTGCAGGTGGAACACCTGGCTCCACAGTGCTGCCACCCACATGGCACTCGGCAAGGTTCAAAGCACTTCGCGCACATGGTCCATCGCGACCCTTTCCTTGTGCCAGTGGGAAGCTGGCCCGTTTCTGCAGCCAAGCTCCAGCAGGACATTTGGTGAAGGGGGGCAGGTGCAGGCCTCCCCAGTGGGCCCGGGACCCCTAGAGGTTGCCCGTCCCGGCTTACAAGTCTGCAAATTCTGCCAGTGTCATTGTGCCTCATCTGACAAGTGGGGGGACGGAGGCAGCGACATTCGGGCCCCTGGCTCCAGCTGAGTGCATCAGAGGAAGCTGCCCTGGCTGCTCTAGGGACTCCGGGACACAGGCGGCCGAGCTCCAGGGAGTGCAAGCGGGAGCTGGTGGCAGGGTTCGACGGGGGGCCAAGCCAGGGAGGTCTTTTTCTGAAGACCTCCTGATGCGGGGAGGGGGAGACACCACCAATCCCTTCAGCCCCCTTGGGGTGGGGGAAACACTGCCCCTGGCGTAGCTACAAGGGATCTCAAGGCACCAGTTACTCAAATGAAAATTCACCGCCTTGGATAATTACTTATTCCACCGGCTTAGCAGTTCTCTTGAACATCCGGCTTCAGAGTTGCCTGCCAGGGTGGGGGTGACTGGGGTGCATGGCCTGCTCCGCGGCTTAGAGCGGGGAGCCTCCGGCCAGGAGGCAACAACGAGGGCAGGTATGCAGGGAAAGGGAGGGCTGGTGCCCGGGGAGGGAGCACAGGAGGGGCTGCTGGGGACTCTGGGCGGGCGGGATGGTGCGATGCCGGGAAGGGGCACTTCCAAGCAAAGCTGGAGCGCATAACAGCGCATCAGCGTTACTGCCTGCACCGGGCCACCCTCCCCTCCACCCAGACGAGCAGCCCCCTCCCCAAAATTCTCCAGCAGGCACGGGAGATCTGTGCAGATGCTGCACGGAAAAGGGAAGGGCGCCAGAACTGAAAGCAGTGCTCCCAGGGAAAGGCTGCCTTCTCCAGGAATGCTCTGCAGCGCGTGCTCAGAGAAGCTGCAAAAGTCATGGCGGGGCAGGATCACAAACACAGCGCGCTCTGGGCACTTTATCTACAAAAGTTAACGCCACTGTCGCCCGTGCTCTGTTTAAAAGCACAAGGGGTGAGCCTGCAGTACGACCCTTAACAGCACAGCTGAAAAAGGATGGCAAGGCAATACACAACAGCCGCCTGAAGAAGGCCAGGTCACACACTGCTAGACACGGAAAAGAAGTTCCCCCAGAAGCGACCCTTATACTTAGCCCAGGCGCAGGAGGTGACACTGCAAGAGAACGAGTTCCAAGGCGGCGGCACAACTGCGACAGCGCAAAGCCCAGGAGAGGGTGCGCGGAGGCTGTGCCGGGGCGTGCGCTGCCCTTGGGACGGCCCTCTCCCACAGCACGCAGCAGGAACCGCACGAGGGAACTCCTGCTGGGACGAGCCTGGGGGGCTCCACAGCACCCCTGGGGGCAACGCAAAAGGGCCCACCTAAGAAGTCCACCAGGCGGCGGAGCTGAAACTCTGTTCCCCTATTTCTGGGAGCTGTAAAAGCCATTTAAAATGGACACAGCATCACCTGCCATGACCCACAGGCCTGTGTCTTTTCAAGAGATGTTGCAAGTTTTCTGCCCTCTCGTGACAGAATGCCAGGCGGAAAGGCGAAGACAGAGGGAAAGGCCACGAGATTAGTTGACAGGTCTGTGAAACTTGTTTGGCATGTGAATTTGCCCTTCCCCTCGTCTTTGCTGTTAAGAGCGCGGCCCACGTTGACATACCCCTTTTCAGCAGCCACTTTGCTGTCCCTCAAGAAACAACCTACCCATGCCAGCAAAAGTATCAAAATAAAATGGCAAACACAACAGAATCAGCTGGTTCACACATCACAAAAAGCCACTTGTACTGTCTCCGTTGTCCAATCGCTAATCCACATCGCTCCCGATGAATGACAGGGCCCTCTCTGACTTGCAGGGATTTATTTCCCCCTCTGTTCTCCCATCGGATGTGGCTGGATGCCTTTCTGGAACAGTCCATGCAACTTAGCAGTGGCATAGAGGATTGCCCCCCACCCCCACTGCCTCCCTCGGAAGATATGCATGCATTTAACTTCTTTTGTTTTAAACTTCCAGGAAAAGTGCAAATTTGCTAAAGCACAACAGCTACTTCAGACAAGTGCTGCAGTTACAGGAAATTTATTTGGAAAACTTATATGCAAATCTCCCAAAAGCACACACAAACCCCGTTATATTTGTACCAAGGTGGGGAAACAGTACAACTAAATACATCCATATCTCCCTGAAGATTAAAAATGATGACACTGAAGATGTTACTTTTGCAGGAGAATTTCTGAGTGGGCTAGAAGAGCCCCCTTTTGCAGGAGTGGGTCCCTCATGTATCTTTGACATTAGAACCAAACTATATTCAATGCAATCCTACACAGGTCTACATAGAATTAAGACCCATTGGGTTTAACAGGGCTTACTCTCACGTAAGTGGGTATCGGAGCAAATTCCAGGGCTGCATGACATTCGTCTTTAAGGTATCACATCTGCGCAAAGGATCCAGCTGGTGCAAAAGGGGCCCCAACTCATCTCTGCTTCAACACAGCGTGCTTCTTTGCTTTGCAGAGAATGCTCCTTTCCCTCTTGGCTACATCCCATCATTAAATGTATGCTATGCTAACCAGAATCCCACAGAAGCGCAGTGAGGACGCCTGCATCTCCCAAGACCAGGCAAATGCACACACAGCAAAAGTGCTGGCAAGGATCAGGTAACTCTGGCGGCCTGAAGTGCAGCCCACCTGTGCAAGCTAAATATCCTGAGGCAGCACTTCCACGTCGAACAGCATGCTGCATTTCTTTTGTAAGCACAAGCGCAACTCGCTAATGCTACAGCATCACAGTTGCCCCTCGTGTGGCAAAAGCAGGCTGCGAGGAAGCCCTTCCACGCCAGCCTTCAGCAGCTCCAAGCACAACCTGATGGGAGGCTCCTGGGAGCACACGCAGCGAGGCCGTTCAGGTGCTGCTAAGGAAGGCAGGCGGCTCCGGCACAAGCAGCGGAACCAGCCGAGCGATCTTCCCACACACAGGAGTGTGGGGCAGCGAGGATTATGCTCCATGATGCTTCTGTCCCTCCTCCTCTGGCCTCCAACCGGGCCTGCGGCCAGAGCCAACACCCCACCCCCGGATCGCTCCTTACCCGGAAATCGATCCCCACTGTGGAGATGAAGCTCCCGGCCAGGAAAGCGCCATCCTTGAACCGCACGAGCAAGCAGGTCTTGCCAACTCCAGAGTCACCAACCAGCATCACCTGGAGAGAAAGGAGAGCGAGTGAGCAGAGGGGCAGCGCTCCCGCCCTCCCCCGGGCCTCTGGCACGCCGGGCAGCGTGCTGGGACATCGGCGAGGGAAGCGCCCGACCGCTGTGCGTGCGCTCAGATGAGATTCCCGCGTGTGCACAAGAGAGTGAAGGCTCTGGGGAGAACCAAAGCCCAGATTAGAAGGCAAGGAGCTAATTATTGTTCCAGCACCAGTCCAGAGTCCTCACCCGAATTCTCTGGATGTTGTGGCTAGAGCCGCGACAGGTGGTGAGCCCCTCCCCGGGGGGGCAGCCTCGAACAGTGCAGGATCGAAACACCTCAAGGACAGACACGATACTGCTCTTAACTGTGAGAACGAAGCTGACAGAGAGCAGGCTGGGGTGGCTCCAGAGATCATTTGGGATGCTCCATTGCACGGGCAAGCGGAGCGGCAGCAGGTACGCGTCCAAAGCGCACCGCCCCCCCGGACAGGCCCCAAGGGGCCCATAAGCAAAGTCTGGGGTGACGTTAGTCAGCGCGAGAGGTCCACCGTCTACCCTGAGTGTATTGCCGGTGTTGTGAATACGTTGTAGCTGTCTGGAATAAAGCCTCGTGTAGCAACGGCCGTTGTTGGGAAGGGGCACCTGGCTCACGACGCGGGTTTCATCCGGCGGCACGGCCCCTCCACCCGCCCCCACCGCTGCCGGCAGCAGTGTCCAAGGCGGTTGCGGCCTCATTCAGACACACGACTGAGCACGGCTCTCTGAGCGGCTGCCCCCTCTCCCCCGACGATCTTCAAGGCGCTCTGCTGCCCACGACGGAACAGCGAATGCCCTCCCATCATGGGGCACAGTCCCCAGGTGGGGCAACACGGTTCTCACCCCTGAAGTAGAAAATTCCGCAGGCGTCCGACATAACAATCAACGAACACCTGGCAACTTGCTGCCCTTTTGGGACAACCCACCCAGCGGCTCAGGCGGGCACCCCACGCGGCTGACGCAGGGCAGGCCTGAGGCAGCGTCGGCCCCGCCTGCGTCCTCCTGTCCGGCCCGGCCCTTGGGCGGCAGCCGCGGCCGCAAGGGCTTCACTGGGGAGGGTGCCTGAGCTGGGCCTCCTGCCGCCGTGGCTCGGGACCAGCCCGGCCCCTGCCGTCGTGCCAGCCTCTGCGGCAGCCGGCAGCCCGCCCTGCGCAAGGTGGGCCGCAAGCAGAGTCTTGGCCTGAGGGGCTCCACAGCCGCCAGTCTCCCCTCCAAGCCTTGCAGTGGCACCTGCAGAGCAGCAGAACGCGCTCCAGCCAACAAGGCACCCGCACCCAGAAAGGACATCTGGCAGGCACCACCACAAACGATCCCCCAAAGGGCGGAAGGCAACCGAGGACGATCTGCAGGCAGAAAGGGCACGTGCAGGAAGTGGAAGGAGGGCCAGGCTGCAAAGGAAGAACACCTGTGGGCAGGAGAGCATTGCACGGGGGCAGGTGTCAGGAAGGCTCGAACTAGGCACGAACGGGGATGCCAAAGGCAACGGGAAAGCCTGCTCCCGATATGCCCAGCGCAAGAGCCAGGCAAAAGCACCGAGCGCTCAGCTACTCTGTGTGGAATGGCCAAATGAGGAGATGACCCCAAAAAAAGGGGGGATGGGGGGGGGGAAGGCCTGCATTCCTACTTTGGCTCAGTCTTCTCCTGGAAGGAGGTCTATGACCCTCTCGGTGAAGGGGATGTTCCAAGCCGAAGGGGCAAGGCAGAAGCTCCGGAATGACAGGCAAACAGTCAAGGATCACCTAATCAAGTGGGAAGTCCAATGGATGAAGGATGTGAAATTCACTGCCAGCCAAGCATTAAGAGAAAATTGGTATAAGCTGTATTTTCAGTGGTATATTGTCCCAAAAGATACACAGATGGACAAGAATTAGAACAGGAAATTTTGGGAAAGTGAAGAAGTAGATGGGGCATTTTACCTTATGTGAAGGACATGTGCTAGAAGCAAAAGATTTTGGAAGCAGATACTTGCAGAAATGCAGAAAATACTTAAAATTGACTCCCCTATGAACACTAATTTTATGTTTCTGAATATTGTACCAGAGGCTCTTCCAAGGATTCTGTTAGTGCTATTTAAATATTCAGTAATAGCAGCAAGAATTACAATTGCTTCATAGGGGAAAGCTGAAGACTGTCCAACTGTCAAAGACTGGAAAAGGAAGTTAGCTGAGTAACAATGGCAAAATTAACCAATTATATTAATATACCAGCTAAAGAGTTCATTTAAAAATGGAAAGATTATTATAAGCAATTTAAGTAATGCTAAAGAAAATAGAATTCTTACAATGTCAGTGATTTTCACTTTAATACTAAAGCCATGATATAATTTACAATTAATTTGGTAAACTGGATTAATCTTTGATTAAGAATTAAACAATTTAAACATAAACATAGCAAACAGGAATTTCTGCCTTTTTATATGATGAGATTATGAAATGACATGCTGTACTTGTGGAATATCCCTTGGCATCTCCCCCCCCCCATTACTTTATTATTTTTGAAAATAAATAAAATTGGAAAAAAGTATCATCTAATTGGGTTGAATGAGTTCAAATCTCCAGGGCCCGATGAACTCCATCCTAGAGTTATGAAGGAGCTGGCAAGAGAAGTCTCAGAACCACTGCCTTGGAGAAATCATGGAGGACAGGAGACGTGCCAGTTGACTGGAGAAGGGCAAATGTCCTATCTTCAAGAAAAGAAAAGGGGAATATCCTGGGAGCTACAGACCCATCAGTCTGATATCAATCCCTGGGAAAATTCTGGAGCAGATTTTAAGCACTCAATCTGCAAACACCTGGGAAACAAGGCAGGGACTACGAGAAGCCAGCACGGATTTCTCAAAAACTAAGCCTGATGGACTGTGGGAATATTGTGGACACAATCCATACTGACTTCAGCAAACCGTATCAGATTTGCAGATGACACAAATTGGGGTGGAACGGCTCGTACTCGGGAAGCCCAAACCAAGATTCAGGGTGGCCTTGGCAGCTGGAGCGCCTGTTGGTGGAAGGAGGGAAAGCTGACGGCTGCTGAGAACGCATCCCGTGCCTGCTCTGGGTGCCAGGCTGTGGGTGCCGAGGACGGCAACGGGCCGACCGCACAGGAGCGGCCAGGATCCCTTCTCAGTGCTGGCCGGGTGCAGCTGGGCATGAGGAAGGGCGTCCTGGCTGTCAGAGCAGCACGGCAACAGAACCGAGGCCCTCGGGAGGCTCTCCTGTACCGGGGCATCCAAGAGGCGGCTGGGCAGCCCTGAGCGGAGCGGCTGAACTGGGAGCCGTGCACGGAGCAGGGGTGGTCCCGACAGCCCCCTCCCATGCTAACATTCTACGAGTCCATGACCAGCCTTTCCCCATCTAGCACATACAGGTGTTTCAGCCTACAATTTCCAGCGTTCCTGAGAACCGGCTATGCACGTGGCTCTGATGGGAGCTGAAGTCCGGAAACATGTGGAGGGCACCAGGTTGGAGACGTAGGCTCTACATCTTGTATCGGGCCACTGGAAAAGGCGAGTTGGTTCGGAAGCCCTCCCTTCTGAGCAGTGACTCAGACGCAGGAGAACCGCCCCTCCAGCACAGCCGGCCTTCCCGGCCCGGCCAGAGGTGTCGGGTTGAGTTCACCAAACTGGGGTTGCCGGGTCAGGGAAAGCGGCCCCGGAAGCGCCCGCCAGGGGCCGCTCCTCCGCGATCTATCCCGACTGCCCCTCTCCCGCCTGGCACAGGGCGTCTGCCTCCCACGGGGAGAAGACAAGGCGACCCCAGCACGCAGCCTCCGCCACTGCCTCTGCCTCTGCCTCTGCCTCCAGAGGGGGGCCTCGGCTGCGCGCGGACGCTCCTGGGAGCTCTGGGGACGCCACCTGCCTGCGGCTGCCGCGCTGCCTCCTCTGCCGCTCTCGGGGGGGCCCCAGCACCGAGCTTCCGCACGGCGACGCCGGGCTGCTCAGCCCGCAGCTCTCCCCGCCACCAGCAGGGCTCCGGGCAAGGACAGCCGGCACCACCTGCCTTTCCGCAGCGGCGTTTTGGGAAGCAAAGGAAAGACTGATCGCCGGGACGGTCCCCTGCAGCCCAGCCTGGTCCATCCAGGCGTCCCCAACACTTTCCCAATCTGCCCCAGAGCACCCCAACTTCTTATGGAAAAGGCCTCGAGGTGTGGGAGAACCGCCACCTTCCCGGCAAGAGCCCAGCAGGCAGGGAAGGACCTGCCCACGCGTCCCATCCGCGTCCATCGTGGCGCCTCCAGCCCCGGGCCTACACCGGGGAGGGAGGGCACCACAGGGCGCTCCTCTGAGTCACTTCTGCCCCCGCGTACCTGCAGCTAAGGAAGGGGGTCCCAGCACCGCCCCCGCGAATGCCTTCCCCGGGGCTGCGACCCTGCTTCGCTGAGCGGCTGGAAGACACACGACCGGATCGCGCGCTCCCAGGGAGCTTCCCGAACGTGTCCACGCAATCCGGAGTCGAGGGACGCGGGGTGCCTCCGCTCCCCGTTTAAGCCTTGGGCCCATCGATGCAGAGCGGGCTTCCAGATGAGCTGGACTCGAACTCCCATCCTTTCCCGCCGGCATGGCCCATTCATTTGTTTATTAAAAGCTTTTCTATCCCCTCCCCTACAAACGTCTCGGGATGGCTTACAATAAACAGTAGAATAAAACAAGCCCCACCGCATCCGACCATTGATATACTAAAACCCCAGTTAAAATCAATTAAACATTACAATAGCAGGAAAATGAAAAGGGTTTTGCCTGACGCCAAAAGAATATAAGGAGAGATGGGCCTATGAGATGGGAGTTGTAGTTCAGCGTACCTCGAGGAGACCAGGCTGGGGAAGGCTCGTCCATCAGCCGGTCTTAGCCACAATGGCTGCGAGGAACCTCCAAGGAGAGGGCAGTCTACCTCTAGCCTCGGCCAGGCGCAAGTTTCCCCGACTCCAGCCCCAGAGGCGGGGGCAGGCGGGCGGCCCGCGCTCCCGGGAGCGGCGGCTCTGGCAACGG